TTTTGTTGAGGTATTTTGCATCTATGTTCATCAGGGATACTAGCCTATAATTTTCTTTTTGTAGTGTCTTTGTCTAGTTTTGGTATCAGGGTAATGCTGGCCTTGTAAAATGGGTTTGGGGGCCTCTTCTCCTCTTCAATATTTTGGAATAGTTTGAGAAGAATAGGTATTCTTTGAATGTTAGGTAGAATTCACCTGTGAAATCATCTGGTTCAGGGCTTTTGAGATTTTTTAATTACTGCTTGAATTTCATAATTGTTTTTTGGTCTCTTTAGGTTTTCTGTTTCCTCCTCATTCAATCTTGGAAGATTGTATGTTTCTAGAAATTTATTCATTTCTTCCTGATTGTCCAATTTGTGGGTATATATTGGGTCGTCGGGAAAGTCGTGACTCATTTTTGCATTGAAAACCATAGAAAAATACATCATGACTTTCCCGACAACCCAATAATTATTTGTGGTTATCATTTCTCCTCTCATTTGATTTTATTTATTTGGGCCTTCTCTTTTTTTTTCTTGATGAATATGGCTAAAAGTATATCAATTTTGTTTACCTTGTCAAAGAAACAGCTCTTGATTTCATTGATTTTTTTCAATTGTTTTTTTAGATTCTATTTCATTTATTTTCATGCTGATCTTTATTATTTCCTTCCTTCTACTCATTTTGGGCATTGTTTATTCTTCTTTCTCTAGTTCCTTTATGTGTGAGTTTAGATTGTTTAGTTGAGATTTCTCTTGTTTCTTGACGCCTGTATGACTATGAATTTCCCTCTTCAGCCTGCTTTCACTGTGTCCCATAGATTTTGAGTCCATGTGTTTTCATTTTCATTCATCTCAAGGTATCTTTTGATTTCTTCCTTGATCTTCTTTTCTTAGAAATAATTTTTAAGTTTTCAATTACAGTTGACACACAATATTATATTAGTTTCAGGTGTACAATGTAGTGGTTAAACATTTATATAACTTACAAGGTGATAACCCCTATAAGTCTTTTACCCATTTGACATGATACAGAGTTATTACAATATTATTGGTTCTATTCCCTATGCTGTACATCCCCATGATTATTTTGTAACTGCCAATTTGTACTTCTTAATAGTACTTCACCTTTTTTATGCAGCCCCTCAACCCCCCTCCCATCTGGCAACTATAAGTTTGTTCTCTATTGGTTTGTTTCTGTTTTGTTCATTTATTGTTTTTTAAAATAGATTCCACATATAAGTGAAATCATATGATATTTTTCTTTCTCTAACTTATTTCACTTAGCATAATACTCTCCAGTTCCATCCAAGTTGTTGTAAATGGCAAGATTTCACTCTTTCATGGCTGAGATATGTACCACATCTTCTTTATTTATTCGTCTATCAGTGGACACTTAGGTCTATCATATCATGGCTATTGTAAATAATGCTGCAATGGCTATTGTAAATAATGCTGCAATGAACATAGGAATGCATGTGTCTTTTCAAATTAATGTTTTGGGTTCTTCAGATAAACACCCAGAAGTGGAATTGCTGGATTCTTTTCTGTCTTGTTATAGCCTTTGATTTAAAGTTTATTTTGTGTTATATAAATATTGCTACCCACCTTTTTTTCATTTCCATTTCCATGAAATACGATTTTCCATCTATTTACTTTCAATCTCTGTGTCTTTCCATCTGAAGTGGGTCTCTTATGGGTAGCATATGTATGGGTCTTGTTTTCTTATTCAATCAGCACCCTGTGTCTTTTGATTAGAGTATTTACATTTAAAGTAATTGTTGATAGGCACATAGTTATTGCCATTTTATTATTCATATTTTTTATCTTTTTCTCCTCCTCTTCCTTCTCCTCCTTCAAGGAGTCTTAACATTTCTTGTAAAACTGGTTTGGTGGTAGTGAACTCCTTTAGCTTTTTCTTGTCTGGGAAGGTCTTTACCTGTCCTTTAATTCTAAACGATAGCCTTGCTGGGTAGAGTAATCTTGGTTGTAGGATCTTGCTTCTCATCACTTTGAATATTTTGTGCTAAACCCTTGTGATCTGCAAAGTTTCTGTTGAGAAATCAGCTGACAGTCTTCTGGGAGTTCCCTTGCAGGTAACTAACTGCTTTTCTCTTGCTGCTTTTAAGATTCTGTCTTTGTCTTTAGCCTTCAACATTTTAATTATGGGTCTTGATGTGGGCCTCTTTGGATTTATCTTGTTTGACCTCTCTACACTTCCTGGACTTTATGCCTATTTCCTTTACCAAGTTCGGGAAGTTTTCTGTCATTTTTTCTTCAAATAGTTTTTCAGTTCCTTGCTCTCTCTCTTCTTCTCTGGTACCTTAATAATGCAAATGTTGGTGCACTTGATGTTGTCCCAAAGGCCCCTTAAAGGGTCCTCATTAAAATTTTTTTTTCTTTTTGTTGTTCTGATTGTGTGTTTTCTGCCACCTTGTATTGCAATTCACTGATTCATCCTCTGCTTCATCAAATCTACTGTTGATTCTTTCTCATGTAATCTTCATTTCAGTTATTGTATTCTTTATTTCTGACTGATTCTTTTGTATGTTTTCTATTTTCATTTTTATGTTTCCTATCTCTTTGTTGACATTCTCACTGAGTTTATCTAATTTCCCCTAATTTTATTTAGCATTCTTTATAACCAGTGTTTTGAACAATGCACATGGGAAATTACTGTCTCCATTTTGTTTAGTAATTTTTCTGGTGTTTTATCCTTTTTTTTTTTTTAATAAAGATTTTATTAAGGAATTGGGGGAGGGGAACAGACAAGTTGCTGTCCTTTTGTTCTTCATTCTAGTTGTGGAGGATGTCAGTTCACTGGCCCATGTTGGTATTTTGATCGTTGCACTCTTTCCGGGTGAGGCAGTCACTCATCGGCCATTGAACGGCCACTCACGGTGGCTCACAGCAGCTCATGCCGGCTGCCGGCCACTCACGGTAGCTCACGGCAGCCCACTGCAGCCCCACTGCCGCCTATGCCGTTGAAGGCAGCCCAGCTCCAGGTTGAGCTGTTGTTCACCATCTTAGCTGTAGAGGGCGCAGTGTCACTGGCCCACGTGGGATCCGAACCAGCGGCACTGCTGCTCAGAGTTCGCTCTCCCAAGCCAACTCTTAACCAACAAGCCACTCAGCTGGCTCTGTTCTATTCTTTTATTTGGAACATGTTTCTTTGCCTCCTCATTTTGGCTGGCTGCCTGTGTTAGTTCCTATGTGTTAGGTAGATCTGCTACATTCCCTAGTCTTGGCAGTGTTGCCTTATGTAGTACATGTCCTGTGGAGTCCAGTGGTGCAGTCTCCCTGGTCACCTTAGCTGGGTGCATCAGGGGTGTCTCCTGTGTGGGCTAAGTGTGCCCTCCTGTTGTAGTTGAGCCTTGATTGCTGTTGACATGTCAGTGGGTGGGACTGGCCCTCAGGCTAACTGGCTGTGACCACTGGCCATGACTACAGAATCTGTTGTTGGGGGGCTGACCCCATGTATTAGGAGTCACTTTAGCAGGGCTCTGTTGGCAGATGAGTCTGCCCTTCAGGTTCTTTGTGGAGCTGGTTGCATGTGCTCTGGTGTGGACTGAAGCTGGCCCCCAGATGTGTTGGTTCTGGAACCTTTGGAAGGGGCCCCAGTGCAAATGAAGATCAGCCACCACTTGTTTCTGGCTTAGCACCACCTAGTAGGAGCTGCTTTGTGATCTTTGGTTGATTGCCAGTTGTGTTAGGTTTGGAGTAGCTTTGGAGAGGTTATGCTGAAAACTGAGGCCAGTTGCCACTAGTGCCATGCTTGGAACTCTTTGGTGGACATCATGTGAGCTGAGGATAGCTGCCACTGTGCTGAGCTTGTGGCCACCGAGTTGAAGCTGTGTTCCAAATTAAGTCTGGCCGCCCTTATGCCAGGCTTGTTGTGACCTTATGGGAGCCACAGTGCAAGTTGAGATTGGTCTCTGCTTGTGCTGGGCTTGGGGGCACTTAGAAAGATGTACAGGACACTCTGGGGCCAGCTTCTACGTGTTTGGGGTTTGTGGATTTTTGAGATATTTTGGGAAAGTCTGCAGTGCAAGTTGAGGCAGGCCACTTGTGTGGGAAAGCCTCTAGAAAAGGTTTGGGCCAGGTGCACAAGTTGGGTGGTTCAGGGAATCACCAAGGTAGGTGAATGGTGTTAACTAGGTTAATGGAGAGCACAGATTTGGCACCTGCCTGCACCTGCCTGCTGAGTGGGAGGAATTTAACAAAGGGACAATGGCACCTACTAGTGCTTCTGTCCCAGAGAGAGCTGCCCTGGCCCCTAGCCCTTCAACCCTTGTGTTGAAGTTACTCAACTCTGTTCCTCCCCATATGTCCCCAGTGCTTTTTGAGTTGCTGTCCATGCACTGGAGCCCAGAGCAAATGAATTTGTGAGCACATGGGTCTGTACATGGGCTTTTCAAGAGGATTGCCTAGGTCTCCCATAGCCCTCTGTCTCACTTGGTCACAATCCCTGGTTTTCACAGCCAGATGTTATAGGAATGCCTCTTTCCGGCACTGGTACCCTGGACTGGGGAGCCTGGTGTGGGGCGGGGGCTCCTTGCTCCTCAGGGCAGACCTCTGCAGCTGAGATATCCCTCCTGATGCTTATTCACCACACTGTGGGTGTAGGACCTGCCCGTTCCTCATTTCATCATATGAGTGTTCCACAATACCTATATCTTGTATCTAATTAAAGTTTTTTCCAAATTCTCTACAGTATTTCATAAATGATTTAATCCTTAAATCTTCGTAGTATTTATTATTATATACTTAAGATAAATTTCCTCTTAGGAGTAAAATAGCAGGATCCTAAGGAAATACTGTATTGTCAGTGGATTCATTGGCACCCATACCTAGCCCTCCAGAAATTCCTGTTATGGTTAAATTAGTTATCCATGTACATTTCAGTCTGGTGGTGATTAACATTTCTCGATACTATGATCTTATAACAAGCTGGTGTTGAAGATTTCTATACTCCTTTGTCTGGAGTTCCAAAGTAAATCTGTTTTATTTTTTTTCCCTCAGCTTGGTGTTCTCAGGACTCAGCCCTTTTTGAGGAAGAAGAGGATATGACCAAGTCTCTAGTATGTTTTAAGCACTTATTTCTTTCCTGTATTATTTTGCAATGCAGTGGCAGTGGTTACCTTAATCTAACCAGTAAGTTAGAAAAAACTAAATTGGTGAAAATCAAAGTGAGGAAAAATACAGATAGATATCAAAACAAGAGGAAACTTGGGACATGGCTATGCAGAAACAGGTCCATACAGAATTACGAAAGTTGAGTTCAAACTTGAATATGATCTGGAGAAGCAAAAGCAAACTGGGACATAAAGCCCGTTTTACAATTTGCACTGTTTATGAGGAAAAACTTAAAATTAAGGAAAGAAAGCTTTTCATTGGCACCTAATTAAAAAAGAAATTCCAAAATAATTCCATAATTCTTATAATTTTAAGCTCAGTTTTTTAAATGTCTGCCCTGGCCAAAGATTAAAAACTAAAATTATCTGGAAGAATAAATGGAACACATTTTTAAAATTATCTTTCAGTTGAGATTTTTATAACTTGAGCTAAAATATATGCTAATATTCTACGGCAAAATCTTGTAGTTCTGGTATCCACAGCTCTCCACATCTTTTTTTATATTCTCAGAAGATCCAGTGTTCTTTGTCTTCTTACAAAACAGTTATCCTCTGCTCTCGATTCTTTCTGTTTCTACTCGGGAATCCCTCACACTCCTATATTTTAAACATTTTCCACTTCACTCTTCTTTTTCCTAAGCTTTTATCTTTCCCATCCTGAAATACACACACTTCTTTTGACCATATGATCATGTGGCTCATCCAGTTATTTCTCCTGATGGCAGAGTGGTTCTCTGGGCCTAGACAGACTTCGGTTCAAATCTTTGCTCAGCAAAATACTAAGTGCATGATTATGGGCAAGTTTCTGAATCTTTGGCCTCAGTTACATCATCTGTAAATGGGGATAATAATAGTACTTATCCCATAGTAATGTTGGGAATGTTAAATGCACATAGTAAGTGCTCCATAAATGATAGTATCTTTAATAATTATCTATGTAAATCTTTTCTACCTGAAAAGTTTGGATATGTTGACTTTATTCATTCACCTGCCTTTTTCATTTAACATATGATACCAATGAGAGAGAAGATGTCTGATTTGGGTTCATAAAATGAATACTTCTCTTCAGTAAAATTATGATAAACACTGTAATAAGGCTAAACAGAACAGATTTTGTAATACAGAAAGCAGAAATATACTAAAAATTCTCTGTAAATGTCAATTATGTCATTTGGTTTAACGTGTCATTTAAGGCTGATATTTCCGTATTGATTTTGGGTTTGGATGACCTATCCATAGCTGTTAGTGGCATATTTAGGTCCCCAACTATAATTGTGTTTTTGTCAGTTTCTCCCTTTAGTTCTGTGAGTAGTTGCTTTATATATCTTGGTGCTCCCTGATTGGGAGCATATATATTGATAAGTGTTACGTCTTGTTGTATTATCCCCTTCATCATCATAAAATGTCCACCTTTGTCTCTTGTTACCTTTTTTATCCTGAAGTCTGTTTTGTCAGCTGTAAGTATGACTACACCCACTTTTCTCTGGATGCCATTTCCTTGGAGTATATCTTTTTCCACCCTTTCACTTGGAGTCTATATTTGTCGTTGTAGCTGAGCTATGTCTCTTGGAGGCAGCATATGGTTGGGTTTTGTTTTTTGATCCAGTCTGCTACTCTGTGCATTTTTATTGGTGAGTCAGTCCATTTACATTTAGGGTGATTATTGATATATAAGGCTTTCCTAAAGCCATTTATCTTTTGTTTTCTAGTAGCTCGGTGTCTCCATTGTTTCTTTGCCTTTGTGTTTCTGTCTGTTATTTTAGTTTGGTGGTACTGTATGATTTGTTCCTCTGTTTCCTCTTTTTTTTTATGTTATGTGTCTCAGTTCTGGATTTTTTTGAGTGGCTACCATTAACTTTATGTAGAAGAAAGTTCAATATATACAGTAGTCCTTTTTCTTCTGCATGCTTATCTCCATTCCCCTTTGCATATTTAGACCTTTACTCCCTCCCCTTTTATGTTTTTGTTGTCACAAATTATCCCTATTCTCTGAGTTTATTGCTGAGTTACAGTAGCAAATTGTCTTCTTTTCTTTTTCTTTTTTTATGTTTTTATCTTCTTTAACCTTTATGTTATGTTTAAGTGTATAGTACCCTATTCTGTGAAAGGGTTGCCATTTCCTGCTCCTGTCTGTTTGTAGTAATCTTACTCATGGTTTTGTATCCTTTTGTCTTTTTGTTTCACGTCAAATAGCCTCCTTCAGCATTTCCTGTAATGCAGGTCTTGTGGTACAAAATTCTCTCCGCTTCTATATATCTGAAAGGTCTTTATTCCTCCTTCATATCTAAAGGATAACTTTACTGGATATATAATTCTTGGCTGGTAATTTCTCTCTTTCAATAGTTTGAATATTTGATTCCACTCCCTCCTCACTTGTAGAGTTTCTGCTGAAAAATCTGATGATAATCTAACGAACTTTCTATTGTAGGTTACAGCCTTCTTTTCCCTGGCTGCCTTGAGGATTCTTTTTTGTCATTTTTTTTTTGACAGTTCAATATAATGTGCCTTAGAGAAGGCCTACTAGGATTGAGATAGTTAGGTGTTGTGTTTGCTTCTTGGATTCAAGGATCCAGTTCTTTCGACTGTGTGTTTGAATATTCTCTCTGTGCCCTTCTCCCTCTCTTCTCCTTCTGGTATACCCATTATTCTTATATTGCTCTTTCTGATGGAGTCAGATAGTTCTTGTAGAGTCCTTTCATTTCTTTTAACTCTCAAGTCTCTCTCTTTTTCCATCTATATCATTTCCAGATTTCTATCTTAGATATCACTAATTCTTTCCTCCATCTGGTCGGCTCTATTTCCTAAGCTAGCTATTTCATTCTGCGTCTCTTTCATCTCTTTTATTGAGGTCTTCAGCTCCAGAATTTCTATGTGGTTCTTATTTAAAATTTCAATCTCTTTGGTAAAATATTCATATTTTTTGTTGTTGATTTTATTTCTGAGTTCATTAAACTGTCTACCTGAGTTTTCTGGTATCTCGTTGAGTTTTTTCAGAACTGCAATCTTGAATTCTCTGTCATTTAAGCCACATATTTCCATGTCTTTAGGTTTATTTTCTGAAGATTTTTCATTTTCTTTTTGAGCTGCCTGTTACCTTGGTTATTCATGGCAATTACTGGATTATTGCTCCTCCTGGGAATTTACAGGAGTGAATTCTGCTTCAGGTTGATATGAAGAGGTCTTTCTTTTGCCTTCCAGTAGGTAGCACTGGAGCATTTTATTTTCTCTTGAGCTGTTCAGGCTTCTCCCATGGTGGGAAATTTCCTGGGGAGGCGGGCTTCTCCTCTGTGATCAGGTCCCCTTGGTCTCAGGGCACCACCTCCATGGTAGAATGTGATTCTGAGCCTCTGGAACCCCAGTGCTGCCCCTGCAGACAGATTCAGAGCTCTGCATCTCAGCAGCCCTGGTGCACCCACTGAGATCAGCCTGGAAAGGGGGAGGCAGAGTGGGCTGGGAGAGGTAGCAGGTGCTCTGTTCTCCTCGAATAATGGCAACTGCCAGACTACAGCTGTCTTGCCCCTGTAGCTCCTCCCTGTTACTGAAATTAGCCACACCATGCATCTGCCACTCAGGAACTGTCACTCCACTTCTCAGGGCTGTAGATATTCTGTTCTTTAATCTGACACTGCTACTATTTGTTTGTTTGTTTGTTTGTTTGTTTGTTTGTTTGTTTGTTTGTTGTGGCCTGCTGCTAACACTGAGAGGGTGTGGGGGAGGTGAGCTCTGGAAGGGTGCAGAGAGGCCGCCAGGCTCTGTGGCTTTGTTTTTCTGCCTGGCAGTGAGGGCAGTTTGACCCCCGTTATTGCTCTTCTGTATTTGGTCTTTTCCCCGGATCTCTGGGCTTAGCTGTATTAAATGCTGATCCCTCAGGCAGGATTGCTGGGGTCACATAAAGTGCACCTACAGTCTCAATCCTCCCCTCTTCCCTTCCCCTGTCCCGGGACTGGACTGCAGTGAGCTCCGGGCTGCGTCCCACCTCTCCCATCTCTGTGCTTCCTTCTTTCCTCTTTCCTGTTTGCCCCAATTCATCCACCTTCAGATGTTTCGATGCACGGATCTCTCAGACGTGTTTGTGTATCATGTAGGGAATCCTCTGTTGAGTTATAGCTGTTCACTTTGTTGTAACTTCCAGGGGAGATTTCAAGGAGCGCCCTCATTCTGCTATGTTTCTGACATCACTCTCCCATTGTGTCTAATTTTGATGACTTCGTATTAGTTAGGGTTGTGTTTTTACAGGAAACAGTGACATTTAAGGATGTGGCTGTGGACCTCACCCAGGAGGAATGGCAGCAAATGAAACCTGCTCAGAGAAACTTATACCGGGATGTGATGCTGGAGAACTATAGCAACCTGGTCACAGTGGGTAAGGGTAGCTTAGCAATTTTACAGGGACTTCCTTTCCATATTTCAAATATGTGATGACTTTAACTTGCCAAATAAACCTAGCCTTCCCTTTCTTCACATGAGTGTATGTACTTGTCTTCAAGGTAAAGGCTACTTTGTCTCACTGTGGAACTTCTTCCATTTTCATCCTCATAAGCCTTCAAGCCCCCAGGATTCAGCCCAAGATCCGGAAGGTTGTCTTCAGCATTAACATCCAAATCCTTTGCTGTTTCCCATAATAGGCTATCAAGTCACCAAACCAGATGTGATCTTCAAGTTGGAGCAGGAAGAGGAGCCATGGGTGATAGAGGAAGAAATGTTTGGGAGACACTGTCCAGGTGAATAAGTGAAAAGGCAGCTCTAAATGAGAAAGCCACATGATAGTTGTTCAGGGAGTTGATATCGTTTCACATTTTCCAAGATTTTCTTAAAGGCTGTAGCCTTTTAGAGTGACAAGTGGTATGGATGGATTGGATTACTGTGACATTTTCGGATACTATTTTCTTCCTATATTGGAGCTATCTTCCTTTTTCAAATTTAGAGGGCCAGTAGTCTCATCGCAAGATGCCAACCTTCCCTAATTCATTCACATCCTCCTTTCAGGATTATTGTCCCACTCTATGATCCTTAAACTCTCCCTTTCCTTTGTGTTCATAGTTTTATTTTCTTATGCAATCATTATTTCTTGGATGTGTGGTATTTTAAAAACATGTTGTTTCACACTTAGATTCCATTTCATTTCTTTCCAATTTGAAAAGCCTCCAATGAGTGTTTTGTTGTAACTGCACTCACACTTTCCATTGTACCTCACAACCGTCACAATCCCATGTTGCTTTAAAAGTTTCTGGCTTAGAAATTGGTGCCTCCTCCCTGGTTATCCCCACCTTCCATTACTTTAATTTAAAAAAATATATAATATATATACACTTAGTTTAAAAATATAAATAGCCCAAAAGAGACATTGAAAAGTGAGCCTTCCTCTTATCCTTGTCAGTCCCTTTCTTTACCTGTTGCATACACTTCTTTTTCAGGGTTGTGCTGACTATTCTTGATAGTTATTTTACCATATAATTTTAGAGTCGACTCTACCTATTTCCAGAGAAAAACATGTTGGGCTTTTTATTGGGAATGTGTTAGATATATAAATTAACTGTCAGAGATTTGACATCTTTATAATATCGAGGTTGGACAAGTTTGTAATGTGTAAGAATATGCTCTGTACAGATCTACCTACTTTTGTGTCCTTCAGAAACACTTTCCAAGTTTTTTTTATAGCCTTTGTACATTTCTTATTAAGTTTATACCTAAGTATTAGACAAGAGAAAACAAATCAATACTGTAAGAATTATAAAGGAACCTATAAAACCATCTTTATGTAAAGATTAAGATTGTATCCCTCAAGAACAGAAGAGACTCAACTGAAAAAGTACAACAAATAATAAAAGAACCCAATGAAATGGTAGACTATCAAATTAACAAAAATCAATAGATTTCATATATACTTCAATAATCAAGTAAAAGATTTAAAGGAAAGGAAACCACATTTATAGGCATAACAATAAAGATAAAGTACTATTCTGGGCATGGGCATATAACAGTGTACAAAACAAAGTCCTGTCCTCAGTGAACTTATGATTTAGTGGAAACTAGAGTCCTTGAAGTTTTGCACATGAGAAAATATCTTTTTTTTTTAACCTTTATATTTGGATGACAGTTGGCTGTGTATAAAATTCTTGAGCCATACTTTCTTTCCTAAATGTTTTTGTAGACAGCGCCCTGAAGACTTCAGACAATTCTCTGTAGTCTCCTGGCTTTGATATTGCTTGGAAAAATGTGAAGCTTGGTTGTTCCCCCTCATAGGTTGATGACTTGATTTGTTTGCCTTGGATGCCCAGACGTTTTTTTTTCTTTAAAGCTTTAGAACTTTATGAGGCCTATTGATCAATTAGTATCAAGTTTTTCCTGTCAATGTATTTTTATACTTTTTGGTTCTTATAGCATCATTGTATAGCTCAGAAGCTGGTTCCTTTTATAATTATCATTATTCTTCTTTGAATTAGGTTGTCTCTTGTTGGACCCACCATTTACAGGCGAGTGTTGGAGATTTCCAGAAAAATGTTCTGACCTAGTAGGAAGCCTTTGTTGCTCTTTTAGCATACAAAGTTTTATGTTGAGAGTTGGTTTGCCCTTTACTTCTCTTGAATTAGAGATTATCAGTTGTCTGTTTCCTGTAGCCCTCAGTATCCCTCCTACCCTCCTATACCAGCAGACTGCTTATATAAAAATAATGACTATTTGCATCTCTTTGTTTAGCTCTGCCTCCCCTACCATTTGACAGGGCCAGATGAAGGAAGACCATTATGTTTCTGCCATTAGTCTTAACACATCTGGATCCCACTGTTGCAAAAAATGACGTTTATTCTACCCACAGGGTGTGCCTTCTGTTTTGGAGAACTCTGTTCACTGTGCTTAATGTCTGAGATAAGAAAGAACAGCCACTGTCTCTGGTTTTTTTCTCTATTTGGTCCAGTCTGTCCTCTGGTCTTTTCTTATATTCTGGAATTGGAGTTTAGCTGCCTTTTAGTTTCACTGAAGGTGTATTTTCTTTTTCTGTTTCTTTTTCATGTTTTCGGAGAGGAGAGGAGGCAGAGATGTTTAATTCAACCATATTGAAACAGGAAGTGCTCTATGTTATATCTGATCCTGGATCACCCTTCTTGGATATCTCTTCCTTCTTTGCTCCCCTCTAAAAGATTCTGCTTTCTCCTCAGTTCTTGTTTATCGTTTATCTATTCTTTCTTTATGAAGTGTATTTTACATGACGTCTTTTCTCCATCCTTCACTGGACATTATCCAAAACAGTTCTAAATTACATATGGACTCATTTTTTCTTTTATTTACCTTCATGATACAGTTGTGCTCAACCTTTAAATCAGTATTTAACTCCAGAAATAACAACATTGGACTATGTATCTTTAACGTCTACAGCATTGTGAAACTCTTCACATCTTTGCCTTTAATTCTAAGTGCTCTTAGCTATCCTGGTTCTAGCAGTTATTTAACTTGGAGCTCAAATTCCAATAAATGGTCCCCAACACTTCCAGCCATTATCAGTCTCCTCTGTCTCTGAGCTAACTTTCTACTTTATGTTTACCAGAGTGATTTGGAGTCTGAAAACATATGGTCCTATATATGTTTTTACACTTTGATGTCTGAACTTTAAATTATTAACCCACCGAGAGAAAGTCTGTCTTATTCTTCATGTAAATGATTCATGAATTGATTGATGTAGAGCTACATTTGGAAAGGTTTTTCTTATTGCTTTTGTTGTATGACAATATTTACTTTCAAACCTTCATTGTAAATGCAGAGGAATTCAGGTTAGAGTAAAAAGACAGGGCGGAGCCACATGCAATATATTGTTGCGATCTTAAATTGCCTGTGAAGCATTTATTTAGTAAATGAGTGAATCAGATAGAGAATACCTTAAAGGTTGTAAGAGAAAGGCTGTCTGTAGAAGGAGTAACAAGATTGGGAAGGTTTTCTTTTCACTTTTTTAAAGAGAGCTTGGCATTAAATCTATTTTCCTGTAAGATCTGTAGATTCTTAAGACTTACTAAAAAAATGAGGGAAATGTAACAAAAATTTGGAAATGATGTGTTTATGGGGTAAAATTAGAAGCGTAGCCTGTCTAGAGGAGGGTGGACAGTAAGGGATTAGTGACATGGAGGATGATCCCATCTAGTGTAGAGTCAGAGAGTTCTAAACTTCGCCAGCCTTCATGCTTGTATTTTTTTAATTTTGTGAGTAATCTAATTTTCTCTTTTCTAATCACTGAAATTATAGTTAAGTTTGTGCCTGGTAGCACCAAGGTGTTACAATAGTCAGTTGCAAGCAGAGGCTTATAAAATAAGTGAATATAAAGGTTAAAAAATATGTCCAATTATCTGAATTTTAAGTTTATGGAACTCCAGAAGTATGGGAAACCAATGTGGAGCTAATAATGTAAAGAACGTTATCATTTTGGGTGACATTATGTCAATCATGAAGAAAGAACAAAAGCAAAACACAAGGATTTGCTGGAAAGGACAGTTTCGGTATCTAGAAATGAACATAGGATAAAATCATAGCACCTGCTATTAGAACACTGCAGTGAATCAGATCTTGAACAAAGATGGCTGCCTTCTGACCTTTTTATCGGATACTTGTATGCCTTGTTCTTTAAGCACATGTGAGAATAAATTGCAATTAGATGGAAAATTGGAGCTGTCTTCATAGTTATTACCAATTTGGGGTTCGATTAAGTTTGGACAGCCTACGCTTCAAGTGTTTTTTTACAGAAGTAAGGAAATCAGAACTTTATAAAAATTAATTTGGTTGTGGTCTGCAGAATGGACAAGAGATAGACTTTTCAGGATCATATGGCGGTTAATCTAGGAAAAAGTAATAAGGAATTAGGTTGTAATTTTCTTCTCTAAACTTAATGTTACTGTTATTACTTTCCTTTTATATCATTTCTTTTTTTTAATGTGCATTTAAAATTTTTCTCAACTAATATGTGTTTTTTAAAAAAACATAAAAATACAAGTCATATAGAAGTCCTCTGTTCTGCCTTCACATTTTACCTGATTTAGGCAATTATTTTCAACTTATTTAGCTATTTATTTGGGTATTTCTGGTTTTGTTTATTTGTGTCTTTTTTCTTTTCCTTAGTGAGTTTAGCCAAGGATTTGTCAATTTTATTAATCTTTTCAAAGAACCAGCTCTTTGTTGCATTAATCTTTTTTATTGCCTTTTTGTTCTCTATTTCATTTAATTCTGCTCTAATTTTTATTATTTCCTTTCTTCTGCTGACTTTGGGTTTCATTTGTTCTTTTTCTAGTAATGTTAAATCGTTCATTTGGGATTTTTCTTGTTTCTTGAGATAGGCCCGTAATGGGTATTAACCTTCATATTTCTAAATGAATGTGCTTATACTTCTAAAGTTTTTAATTATCGTCATTTTCTAACATTCACAAAAATAGAAAAAGGAATCCTCATGTATTCATCATTTAGCTTTAACAGTTATCAACATTTTGCCAGACTATTTGCCAACATTTTCACCTATCCCCCCACAGTTTTGTTTTCTTGCTGAACTATTTTAAACACTATTATATGTATCTCCAGAAGATAAAATTTTTTAAATCACTGTAAACCACAATATTACTATCACACCTAATAACTTCTTACTATCATCTGATACTTAGTCTCTGTTCATATTTCCTCCGTTGTCTCAAGAATATTTTTTTAACTGTACAAAATAATGTTTTCAAAAATATTAGAATGTTTAGAGTTGACT